AATTTTTCAAATATGTGGCAATGACAAGGCCTCTCCCACTATCTTTAATCACTGAATGTAGGGATACTGCACATATGTAATTTTGTAATTCTATATCCAATATGTGTTGACGAATATTCTCTTTGGCCTTTGCATACCCCATAGCAAGAATTATAGATTGAGAGAAACCTAAGGATTGCACTTTTTCCTTAATCAGTTTTATCCATCTTGATTGAAATGTATCGATAAGAGTCAAAGGAGCTAAGCCGTTGGGGGTAAATAACAACTTTAACCAGTAATCTAACTTATATATCCATATTTGTGCTTCAATAGAAATTAAACCAGTTTCCAATCTAAGTGAAACATTTGGCACACAATTTGGTAGACTTAAAACAGATCTCAAAAATTTTGTTTGAATAGTTTCCATAGTAATAGTATTTTTATATAGGCATATTTGTGCACCATATAACATTTGAGAAAGGATCTTTGCTTTGAATACCTGTACGGCAGAGGGGACATATTGTCCACCTTTGCTGTAAAAAAAGGAAATAAGTGACTTATAACTTCGTTGTATATTTGAAACAGCGTAAGAAATTTGAGCTTTCCAGGTGCCTGTACAATGAAAAATTACACCCAGATATTTATAGAATTTAACCTGTTTGAGTTGGTGTCCGTTTACTTGCCATCGGTGTTTACTTTTTTTTGGAAAAGATAAGGACTTTAGATTTTTTGTAATTAATTACTAATTGTTCTGTATTACAATGTGTTCCCAAAGTTTTAAAGAGACGTCTCAGTCCTACACAGGTTAAAGATAACAGTATTGCATCATCAGAGTAAAAAAGTGTGGATACCGACCTGCCTGTCAATTTGGGTGAATGAAAATTTTCTCCAGACAAAGTTTCAATTAATGAATTAATATAGATATTGAACAAAGTAGGGGCCAATACACAACCTTGTTTTACCCCTTTATATGTAGGTATTACCTTTGTTAAGTGCCCTTCTTGATTACATCTTACTCTCAGAGAAGTTTGGTCGTAAAGACTTCTTATGAGAGTCAATAGGCATCTAGCGATACTAGTAGCCTCCAATTTTCGCCATGATCTGTCTCTTGGAATTGTATCAAAAGCAGATTTAAAATCTATAAATGCTGCATAGAGTGTCCCCCCCACAGAAGATGAATATTTGTCTACAAAATGTTGCAATATGAAGCCCTGATCTGTTGATGAACGTTCTATTGATGTGAGGGCGATCTGGCTGCTACATCTGTCACCCCATTGATCGCCAGGGTTGATTCGGCTGATCTGGCTGGCTAGGCGGGTGTCCCCTTCCTCCCTCACTGCTCCATGTGCGTCCCCCCCGAAGCTGCGCACTCGGTGGAAGAGACTGAGAGAAGTAATAATATTCTGCTCTAGTCAGACCTCACTTGGAATATTGTGTCCAGTTCTGGGCACCACAATTCAGGAGTAATATTGACAAAATGGAGCACGTCTAGAGGAGGGCAACCAAAATGGTGAAAGGTCTGGAATGAGGAATGGCTTAGGGAGCTGGGTATGTTTAGCCTGGAGAATAAAAGTTTAGGAGGTGATATGATAGCCATATTTAAATATTTGAAGGGATGTCATATATAGGGTGGAGCAAGCTTGCCCCCAAAGAGCATTAACTTTATTTAAATCAATATGAATATGAATTAGAATGTTGATGGCACCAGCTCTGATTCAGAATTCCTGGAGTTTGCAATCCTGAAAGTACTTCCTTCTCTATCTAGATGTGGCTATGCAATTTTCCTTTTTTCCATCTTGTTTTACTTCCCTAAATAGATATTTTTAAAATCAAAAGTGATCATGAAATGACAGGAGCTCTTTCCACACTCTATCACCTTGGGATCTAGATTATCATTAACAAATAGATTGATAATCTAGATCCCATGGTGAGAAGGATTGTGGCAGGGGTTCCTTTTACTTCAATTAGTTAAAAATCTTTCAAAATCATCTCCTCCCCTGAACAAAAGTTTCTGGGAGTGTTTCCCAATCAGGCCACTAATACACTGATTCTCACAGCCTACAAAGAGCCAATGACTGAAGAAAATGAATCAAATCCTTAATATATTCAGTGGCAATGGGGGAAGTTTCCATTAGAAATACTTTGGACAGTCTCTAAAATGCTGACATTTCCTCCAGGCTAAGTAAATATGTATTTGCTTTAACTTTTGGATTGTTATCCATGGTCTTGAAGTCAATCCAGATATGTTGTACTTGTCTACAGTTAGTCAATATCTGAACTCTAGGTTTCCCACATATACTCTGAGTATGACACAATTTGGTGGGCTATTGAATAAAGTTTTGTCTTAATGCTCTAATAAGCAATGCATATATGTATTGCCTTTGAAAATGCCATCTTATATGTGTTACCTTTGAAAATGCCATCTTCTACTGGAGATTTAGTCTGGAATCTATTGGTTAGCCATATCTAAAGCAGACCCATTGACTTAACTGAAGAATGGTGAGTCCACTCATAGGTAAATTCCATTTATTCAATACATCTACTCTAATTGGGATTATCAACTAATATTCAGACCTATCAGTCTGAAGAAGGAGTCAACATTTTCTGTTTTGCTGCTCCTGATGAAAGACTGTATTACTATCACTTTCTTTTTCCTAAAAAAAAATTAGATGATAAAAGTCACACTTTCTTTGTTTTCTTTCTTTAGATAACACTGAGAGGGGAATAAAAAATAAAAACAGAAAAAGGCTATGGGGTATTTCAGTGCAGAAGAAGCAGCAATCTGCCTGAGACAGTAAGTGATTTGGTATTTCAGCTATGTTTAGCAATGGCTCCCTTGCATCTTAGGGTCCATTATATTTCACTGATCTGCTTCCTCATTATTTTAATCTGTTGATAAAGGGATTATGAGAGAGCTATGAATAAAACATGGCACTGACATATTTTACAAATAACATAA